TTTATCTCCGATATGGGTATAGGGAGGCTCATGATTGAATTCCGAGTGGGAATGGAAAACAAAACACCCGTTTTGGCATCAGTGGTGGCTCCAGTATGGTGGCGATGGTGGTTGGCCTCCTTCTCTGGTATTTGGTTCTTTCCCCGACCACTGACGCTACCCCATCCATTCGATGGCGCCTGAAGAGAAAATGCATCTGGGTCGTCCGTGCGCACGTGATGTGAACCAGACCATCAGATCGTAAAGCATGCATACAGATCGCCCGCGTGGTGCCGATGTTAGCGTATTTGCCACGTGGCATGCTCTAATTCGCCGTGGCTGTTGACTGGACCGTCTCATGTGACCAAACTTTTATTTTTTGTGATTTTATCTCATGTTTTCAAATTTTTTCAAAAACACATCTCTTATTCTCAATTTCACATATTTTACCCAAAATTGCTTTTAATTTCGTCCATAACTTATTTTTTCTCAAAAATTTAACAAAATTAAAATTAAAATAAATATTTTGATTATTTATATATATTTTGTAAATGAGAAATATTATCTCAAACCAAACTTTGAACCCGGTTATTACAAATATTCTTACTAAACTCAATTTGATATCACCATGAAGTAAAATTTATAATCGTTATAATCTTTATAATTTTTATAATCAGTGTATAGAGTCTACATGCAATGATATGATCTTTATAATATTTGTATTAGCACAAGATTTTTTATAAGTATAACTACATATATTTTATAATTATTTGATATATACACATACATCATTACACAATCTCTTATTGCCAACACTAAAGAATGCCAGTTTGATTTAAATTCGATAACTCTTATAAAGGATAAAGTATCAGTTTTAAATTGGTATTGAGTTGTGCATTTATATATATTTATTGTTCAAAAAAAGTTTATATATTTATAAATTATATAAAATGATATAATAAATATAAAAATAATTTTTTAGAAATATAAAAGATAATATTTTAAAAATGTTTAAACATCATGATCAATTTTATTATTACTTTTTCATTGTTAATTAATTTTTTTGAATGAAATATAATAAATTTAAAAAAATAAAAAATTGAAAATATTTTTATGTGTAAAATGACATACAGATACAATAATTAAGAAAAACTGTAATTATTTGAATAAAAAACTTTGAAAATTAATTAAAATGACGTTATTGCTAATATTGGAAAATGAAATAAAAGAACTTCATTAGCTTCAACTTTGACCTGATCCAATCAAGGTCCGATTTGGAGGCCCAAATTTGGTCCTAATTGTAAAATTAAGCCCGACCCGAAACAAGCTATTCGTAATTTGGGGCCTATAAGAAAGAGCATTTATCATCTTCGCTTGGCAGCAAAACCCTAATTCACCAGCCGCAGCTCTCCAGGTCAGTATTTCTCGCTGTTCTCTTGGCAGCCACTGTTTTCCTCTGCTGGTCCGTTAATGTAAATCTGTCTCTTGGTCAAGTAATAATCTTGTTTGTAGCATGACCTAATTACGAGATTTGTAGTTCTTGTTTAGGCTTGTATGTATATTTTCAATGTTTTTCTCAGTGTGTTTCTAGGTCCAAATGAACTGAAGTTACTGGGTGTTCAATGACTTCATTATCTTTTCTGGTTTTCTGTCGGTTTTTAACTTAAGTTGTTCATTTGCGCTTTTCGTTTTTGGTTATTTACCAGGTAAGGGTTTTTCGTGAGGCAGGGTTGAGATGGCTCCAAAGGGTAAGATTCTTCATTTTTTATTTGTTGTTACAGATTGCTTTTGCTTTTCTAATGTGGCTTACGATTTAACTGCATCTGTTGGTTTCTAACTTTCATATTTTGTTGTAAAGTATGTGTATTTACTACTAGTAGTTTTAGTTAAAATCTTGAACGTGAATTATATATGCAAACATATAATCTTTATATCTATATACATATAAATGGGATATTCATTAGTGTTGTTAGCCATCAACCTATTAAAATATATTCTTTAGTTTTTATTCTGCAATGAAAGATGAAAATGGAGTATACTCCATATTTTATGAGCTACCTTTCATGTTACTTTTATCCTTATTGCCATTTGCTATTACAAACAGTATTAATTTGATGAAGAGATGTGTATCATACCCAGGACTTCTTATTTTAATATGTGAAATTAGAGATTGATCTAGTGATATGGATTTTTCAAAAGGAAATGTTAACAGTAAGTTTAAATATTGAATTGTTGCTTGAAGCTTTATTTGGTCAGTAAGAATTGATTGATGTCTTTCTCTTCTAGCTAATTTGTTCTATAATGCCTTGAGATTATGGCATTAATAAGTTTTTTCTTTTTTTTATTGTAATGTGAAGTATGTTTATGTAGACCTGCTCCTGCAAAGTGTTTTCTGTCATGTACCTTTGCTGTACCTCTATCTTGTGGATTGTTTCTGTATTTGTTCCTTTTGCAATTAGAATATAGAAGAGTAGATTTGAAGCATAATGTTGAATGGTATCCACATATTTTTATATTTCTTGTCTTAGAAGACTTACTCCTTTGCCCCTTGCAGCTGACGGTACGAAAAAGGCCGACCCAAAGGCACAAGCAGTGAAAGCTGCCAAGGTTGTGAAATCAGGCCCAACATTCAAGAAGAAAGCTAAGAAGATCAGGACTAAGGTCACTTTTCACAGGCCGAAGACATTGACAAAGGAAAGGAACCCAAAGTACCCTCGTATCAGTGCTCCTGGCAGGAATAAGTTGGACCATTACCAAATTCTCAAATACCCTTTGACTACTGAGTCTGCAATGAAGAAGATTGAGGATAATAACACCCTAGTTTTCATTGTTGACATCCGTGCTGACAAGAAGAAGATTAAGGATGCAGTGAAGAAGATGTATGACATTCAGACCAAGAAGGTGAATACTCTGATCAGGTAAGCTGAGAACCACAACAACCATTCTGAGTTTATGCAATAACTTGTATTATATTAAAATGATAGCTTCATGACTGGTAACAGATTATTGGTTACTTTCTCTGCTTGTTTAATTTTATTTTCCCAGCTGGAACTTTAAAATGTTTTATCAGGTGAAGTTTAATCAAACTCGTTTTTATGCAGGCCTGATGGAACCAAGAAAGCTTATGTTAGGTTGACTCCTGATTACGATGCTTTGGATGTGGCCAACAAAATTGGAATCATCTAAGTTAAAATTTTGCTGTTACTTTTCATGAACAAATTAATGTCATCTATACCAAGACAGTTCTGTTAGGAATGATTCACCCTTGGGTGTTCAAGTTTTCAGTAGTTTGTATTGAGAACCTTTTCTTTTCCTACTTTTGTTTTATTATTTACATTATCCAAGATTTTTTATGAATGGTTTCAAGTCTTGTCTTCCCAGTACATTCATTAGTTGTGGAGTTTATACGTTCTGCCATTGTTTTTCTATTGGAACACTATTGGTAACACCCTTAAATCTAGCATAGGATTGCAAAGAGTACTGCAGAAGCAGTTTATAAACTTGATTGAGATGGTGGTAATTTGGGTCGATCTCATTTGAGGAAATTAATGTGTCACGGAAAATAGTATTAGCTGTTGAAATTGAGCTTTGTGGATATCAATAATAGGTGTGTATAAGATGCAACAGTGGTTACGTGTTCATATTTGTAGATCGGTAAGAACAAAATGTAAGGGCTCATTGATAATTACAAGGATGAATATATTTTTTTATCTTAAAATTAAATGAAGCCTTTGCAATTTTCTGTCTTGAAAATGCTCACTCTACATATTCAAATTATTAATATGCATATGGTGGGAAACCCAGTTTTAGACCGGGAAGTTTCCATCTACTAAAATCTAATGGCCGGCACCCAGTGCATAGTTTGCAACGCCTGCAAATTCTCAGCATTTCGGTTCTTATGTTGAGCTTTTGCTTGCTTTCCTGCATCATTGATTTCAATATGGATCAAAGATTAATACGTGCTTCTCAACAAGGGAATACTGATGAATTATATGGATTACTTGAAGAGAATGGATATCTTCTGGAGAGAATTGATCAGATACCTTTTATTGACACTCCGCTACACATAGCTGCATCTGCAGGGCATGTGGAATTTGCACTGGAAGTTATCAACTTAAAACCATCGTTTGCCAGAAAGCTTAGTCCAAGTGGATTTACTCCAATGCATCTTGCTTTGCAAAATAGGCAGTTCCATATGGTTCTTCAACTCTTGAAAATCAATCAATGTCTTGTTCGTGTCAAAGGGAAGAAGGGCATAACTCCTTTGCACCATGTAACTGGAGAAGGAGACACTGAACTTTTGTCTGATTTTCTTGTTGCTTGTCCTGAATCAATCAAGGAAGTTACTGTTAGAAATGAGACTGCCTTACACGTTGCCGTGGTAAACAATAGGTTGGAAGCTCTTGAAGTTCTCGTTGGATGGATCCAAAGGACTGCTCGTAAAGGTGCTAAATATATGGAACATGAAGTTGTGAATTGGCAGAACAATGATGGCAACACTGCTTTGCATCTTGCAGCAGAACGTAATCAACAACAGGCATGTTTTCTGAATTTATAAATCATTACATCTGTATTCACAGTATATAATTTTCTAAACATACTGGTTTAGAGACTGAATAAAACTTATATTTCCTGTGTATCACATAGTTGCTAAGCGTCCTACTAGGTTGCAGAGCTGTTAATAGAAACATCAAGAATCGAAGAGGCTTGACAGCTATGGACATTTTGCAAGCCAAAGCGGAGGCCAAGAGAATAGCAGAGAAATTAGGTTTATGGTTCGCAAGGCTGGTGGTCTTAATCTTCCTAAAGTTTCAAGACAGGCTGAGTATTTTAGATCAAAAATTTCACCTACTGAGTCCGTGGCCACAGTCTTAACCCGGAAGAGAAACAATATATCAAGTGAGAAACGCAGTGCGCTACTCGTAGTGGCAGCTCTGATTATAACAGCTACATATCAAACAGCTCTTAGCCCTCCCGGAGGTGTATGGCAAGGTAATAATCCAGCTATTTCCAGCACTCCGTCTCCGGAGAATAACACTACCTTACTGCATAGTCCGGGGAGCGTAGTCATGGCTGGTTGGTTTCCATATCTCTGGCTTTCGAACTCGTTTGCTCTCTGGGTGTCGATATTGTTTACAGCAATCCTGCTTCCTACCAGTCTCTACAGTAGACTACTACTTTCGGCTCTATCATTATTGTCTGTATCCTATACTGTATCTATCACAGTCATATCCGAGACTGGTTGGCTTTTTATTCCTTCATATCTGCTTTTAGGTTGCTTTGGAATTACTCTTCCATTCCTCCAGTTAACTGGACCACTCCAGCGTCTTGAGCAGAGGATGGGTAAGAACCAGGTATTGTACTCTGCTTACAAAGTTTCAGATTGAATAAGTTTTGAAAAATTAAAGTTATAATTGGGAAGTAGTTTGAATGAGTTTTGTCAAGTGTAACATGCAGGAGTGTGATTATAAATTAACAGATTATAATTTAAAACAATTATAAACTCACTATTGATCTTTGTCATATTGAAAAACAAAAAAAGAACAAGAATGCTCCATGGAATAATGGAGTATGATTTCACAGAGATTCTCTTGTTAGAGTAAAAGAAGGAAAAGGAAAATGAGAGACACAATGGACAGAGAAACAGGCCACTTACAAATCTGGAAATTTCAAAATGGTGCCTTCAATTTAGAACTTGGTTGTCCCTAATCTAATGAACCAAAAAATTGATTAAGCAAGTCAAACATTGAAAATCTTGAAGGAGTCGATGACAGTGTGCAGTTTATCTTTCATCTTTTCCCACCTTCTTTCATTAGCCCCAGTTGTCAAAGTATAGAATTTACCTGCCAAAACACAATGCTAATCTCAATGAAAAAGCAGAATCATATACCAGAATTATATGACAAATGAAGTTTAATGCATATTTTCTACTGTTATAGTCCTCTCTGGTATCTATCATTTGAAATCCAAATAATTAACCAACTTTTTTTTATCATTATGCGATTTTGCAGAGAGGAAAGTAGGCTGATCTGATCCAAAGTCGAAATAATTGATGATGTAGCTCAAACTATGCCTAATCAACACATAAATCTTCTCAATGTATGGCCTAACTACTGGCTCCGAAATGGTACAAAGAGGCACTAGCCATGGAACTAAATAATGGAGCAGGCACCATGAGCAATGACCTATAGGCTCATAGCACCTCCCAACAGCATATCTCGGATTAGATTCATACCATTGCCAATAGATATTGTGCTTAGAGCGTGGCGAGTGTAGTTGGGAGCTTGGGCAACAAATTCAAATGTATAATAAGTTTTCCCATCATCTTCATGCTGTAGCATGCGTAAAAGAAATAAATTGATTAACAATACAGACTGCAATTGATTTTGAAAGAACAAGAGAGCTGGCTTTTCATACAACAATAAGGAAATTGGAAACTGGTGAATTTTGATAGAACTACTTGCTATTACAAAATCTAAAGATTGCTGAATATAGTATTAATAGTGACTAATTACGAAACCTGTAGCCAGTACATTCTGTATCTTGAAGTCAATCACCACCAGGATGTGCTTTAATTAATCAAGTTTTGGAGAAAATTACAAACCTCCGACACCTCAATTAGCTTTGTTTTCTGGGTTGGAGGGGCGAGAACCTTCTTAATTAATGTTTCAGCAACCTGTGATCATTGAATCATGAGTAATATGTAGCAAACATATGAAGAACATGGAAAAATTCGAAGTCCTCATTTCTATGTCACTGGATCTGAAGGCAAACCTGTTGAGGAGGTCCAAATTCTTGAATACTCCCTTTGCTAGTGGGGATCATATTTACACTGACACTTTCTAGAGGTTCGATGACATCTTTGAAAACCTTGTCTTGACCTTCAATGATTACTTCCTGACCTTTTCAAGAAGCAAAACTGTTAATATTATAACAACTCATTTTTTATAATGTTTATCCATTGACTACTGGAAAATTACAGGTAACGAAATCAAAAATGGAACTAGAATATAGCAACATTACCTGCCACCCAAATGGATATAGAAATGAATAGCCATCCTTTTTGTCCATCACTGACAGAAATCCCTTCTTAGTTTCTGCAGCAACTGAACCATATCAATCCTCTTAGGATATCAGCAACCATAATCCAAGAAACAAATTCACCGTATGCTTAGCAGGTGGCAGTTTGCTTTTATTGTAACTTGACCACATAATCAAACTAGGGTATTGAAACTCAGGTAAAACGCCTTGCTCCCTTTATATGCGGCAAAACTATTACTTACATGAGACAGGAGTTTGGTTAACCACTGAGATCCAAGGGGCAATGACACCAAGAGATATCATTTGACGTCTCCCACACCTATCTGCAACAAAAATAAAGCAGGTTGAAAGAAGATGAGTTACTCAATGTCAGCTTTTCATCTAGTCACATGAAAACTAGGAGCAAATATTATCATTCACTGCGTTGATAGACAAAGAAAGCGAAACACGATCACACAGTATGCATGTAAGCAGACGGTAACATCTAGTAGAAAAGGTGGCTAATATTATGAGGTTAAGTACTCCATGGACATTTTACATATTTCAACATCTGGGCAGGTGAGTAATCATATAAACTAACGTAGTATCTTCAGGAATGATTCATTTGTGATCTCATAATTTCTAAAACTGTTGAGTACATGTTTAAGTTATATTGCAAAATAAAATCCGCATGTGGAGACAATGTAATTTAGCAGGTCAATTCCAGATTAGGAATTTGACTCTCAGATTGAAATGTTTGGGAGAAAAAGAACTTCAAAAAGAAAATATAGAGAAGGACCCCTTGACTCAACAAACAAAATGGAAAACTAATTTATCTCGCTAAACCTAAAGAAGAGTAGTCATATTCCAGCTCACTTCAAAAAGAAATTCTTACAATTTCCAAAACTCTAACTCTTCCTACACATTATGTTGTGCACAACGATAAGTTAACTAATAACTTGCTTCTCTGTTCAATGTAATTAAAGAAAACAATGGAGAAAGAATCAAGCCGATTGCAATATCATTATGAATAGAATATACAAGCAATGCGCAGAACTATCATTATCCAATTGAGACGGTAACCTTGAAAATGAGAAGTAGTTGAAGGAGGTGATGATTGCTCAGCTCGTACAAGAAACGAAATGCTTCTTTTACTGCAAGGAAGAAATCCACCATGTCTTTGTTGCCCTCCCACCTGATACATCAAATCCGCACATCACAAATACATATGAGAAATGCAAACATGTACACAGAGAAATTGAGAGATTGAGAGATAACCCGCGGGAAGGAGTTGAGCAGAAGTGTTTGATTAGCTGAAGCGTGCGTTGCAGAGAAGCCATTTGCGTTGTTTGTGTCTTTAATGGCAGCTAGTG